CGTCGTGAGGAAGTAACCGAAGGAATAAAGCACTATTTCTGTCACTGCCCTGCCCTAGCGAGTGCTAGAAGACGCTCGTTTCAACATTGTTACCTTGACTGTCTGGCGGTCTGAATAAACATTGAACTAATTAAACGGTACCGCAACGGACCTCCCCACGCTTAAATGCGCCTTCATGCGTGTAGATAAAGCCAGCAAACACACCCTATCCTTACCTACAGTATACAGCGCATGTTTGGGCTTAACAAGACGAAAATATTTCTTGTTTAATTATCCGATTCTCACTTAAATGAATACTTCCTACAAGGTTTCAATATATTTTGATGATATATATAGCCCGACCTAGATAGTAGCAAAAAAAAGGCTTTTACTACTTTTACTTTTAGCCAACTCGAAAGCTTGCTTAATGGTAGCGTTACGCCTGCATTTTGTGATAAGACCTGACCTCGTTACTTCGTCCGCTTCGCAATTGCACAAAATATGTTTATCATCCGCCACCCAATTCACCCGGAATAACTTTCTAAAGAACTAAAGGTGGCTTGGCTATCCATAGTTATTTAGTTAGTTAATTTTCGGGGTGTACTAGAAAAAGGGACACTGCGACCTAGAAGATCTTTTGTATCTTTTTAAAGGAGTCCCTAACCCAACGTGGCCAAGATACCCTCGGTTTGCCTAATAAATCCTAAAAGGGCCTTGGTAGACGAATTCCTAATAACAAAGGGTTCGGCCATAGAAGATTTAAAATAAATCAGTCCTTGTCTGGCTTAAGCCGGACAGTGACAGAAAATATGCTCCGTAGTTTCATCAGCCTCGAGGCAGAGTCGGCATTCCGACTCTGTGATCGCACCTATTCGGTGCAAGTGGAATCGCAATTGGTCGTGACATGTCAGGTACCCAGAAAGTAGCCTGATTTCATTTCTATTTGGTAGGACAATATCGTTTCTGTTAAAAAGGTAGCCGAAGAGCCTCGCCTGTCTAAGGCCACCCACTGCTCCCCAGTACTTACTGCGTTCCGAGTGTACCCACTCAGTCATTATGGCTCTCGAAGTGGACCAACTGAGACCACAGAATGGTTCAGGTACCGAAAAGTATATCCATACTGAATGCAGAACCAGCTCTGAGATGATAAGCCACCGTACCAGACCGACTCCTTTATTGTGGCTGTAAGTTCAACTTTAAATACGCTGCAATGGTCTGACAAGCGAAAACTCTTTCGCGCATACCCCACTTTCTACTGGGTTAATTTTGACCCTTCCGTAGGTATGTATTGTAGTAGTGTGCGAGTTGACAGGTGTCTGGAATTTTGGAATGACAAAATCTGGGCTCTTTTCATTTATTTAAAGGGAAAATTTAGTTCTATTTCCAGGGCATTAGTCGCAGTGGAGGGTAGTGCTCCAGTAGTTAGCATACATGCCGCCCTCGGTGCCTTTTAAAATCTTTCTCTAATAACTTGCCGATTTTTCTAAATACTCAATGTTTATATTTGATAGGAACGTGCTGATTGTTTCTAAGCTCAACAAACCTGTAACTCTAGGTATTGGTTGAGATTTTAATCGGTGAGAAGAGACCTCAGCATCTAGCCCCTCATATTTCAATCCTCTTCAGGAGCTCTCGTTTGTGCCGCATAAGAAATTTTCTTAGAAAATAGTAGAGATTTCTAAAAACGACATCGTTCAATTACTTCCAATCTTCTGCAGTGACTTTCAGGCAGAAATAGCTGATATCAAGGAAGCGGAAAAATGTGACATCAGTTAGGGAAGTTAGCATATACTACATCTGGCAGCCAGGCATCTATCAGAGCCCTGCAATGGGATTATAGAAATTGCTACGCTAAACTTCTATCGCTACAAAATGTACAACGCGAAAGCTGAAGGCCTTCTATATAAAATCATAAGCATTATTTCCTTGGAGGCGTTGTATATTTTTAGGCACAAACCCCCTGAACCGCGTCGGAGTATTTGCTAATCAGACTTGCTTGGGTGCAGGGCCACAGCGACACTGCGGGAAACTACGTGTCGGATGGATTGACAAGGAAAGGCACCCTTGAAACGTCACCACCGGATGGGGAACATCTAGGGATGCCTCTGTCTCCTGGTTCACTCTTGGACGGTTGGGTCTCATGTAAGCTGGGTAAAGGCAAGGACATGCGCAATTGCAAGTTGAAATTAGCCGCAGTCCTAGCTTCGCAATCGGCTCGCAGCGTTTTGCCGACTGAATAATGGCCTCCGTTAAATTTTCGTGGTATCACAAAGGACAATCTCTTAACTGTTCAACTGCGCCCTTGTCAGGGACAACCAATATGATCCGACCTTACCTGCCCTCTAATTAAGTAAATGGAGTAAATATAACTCAAGGTTTTATCTATCTTTGCAAGTGGGCCATGGCATCGAATGGTCATTTTAATCCTACTCCATCTATATATTTCTGTAAAAATTTCAAGGACATGAACGCTTCAAAAACACTACTATGATTAATAAAAAATTAATGCAAAAGCCTAGATGCATTGATTTTGTCGCCGGTCACGAAAAGATAACCAATCAATCCCTCTTTAGAGATAAAATCTTCTACACCTCTGTGCCCATAGGAGCATCAATACATGCATTAATACATACATATGTAAATATAGAAAGCCTGTTTGCTTACAAGTTTAGGCCACGACTTTCCGCTAACCTCAAAGACTTCTATGAACAATCCACAAAGATCAGTTGAGGGAACTTGCAAGGTAAAAGTCACAAAATAAACAAATAGTTGGCTGGTAAACAAACAACTGCAGAAACACCTAGGCAGGAGCATGTGACAGAAATTTTAAATACTCCTGCTTGCAATACAAGCGAACAACAACATTAAATACTATGTATGTATGCATGTTTGTATTTATACGCTTTGGCAAACAAGTTTCTCATATGCTGACACTAGCCGCTACTGTATGCCATTATCCACTCTAGCGTTAGCTGGGAATAAGTACGAGTGGAGTAAGTAGTTCTTTGCCAAAGATCAATGCTAAGATCGTTGTTAGCCATGGGCGAAGCAGAATAAAATCTTCAACAAACAAAGTAACAGCGAACGTGAATGGAATAAATTACAAGCGAATGCAGAAGGAATAATAGTAAGGAAGTTACGAAGAACTGCTAAGAGTAGTACGCGTAGTTGGCTATTGATGCAGTCTTATGAGGGGAATTGGTGTGTGCGGGAAAGAATAAAGTTCTGCACGTGCGCAGAGATCAGTGCCTAAGGATTCGAGGCATATGTACGAGTAACTTCTATATGCGCACTTATAGCATAGGCAGACGGCAACGTTAATACACACTAACGGCGAAGTTGATCAAATCAAAATTGTACCCTGACATACGATAGTATTGCGGTTAAGGGAACCGCGAGGGCGTGGGCTCGAATTTCATGAGCAGCAACATTTTTTTTTGGTTTCAAGTATTACTTGAATTTTTTTATGTAATTATAGCGATTGTGGACTTTTTTAATAAATGTAAGCTCTTACAAATTCAATCAACTTGAAATAGTTATGTGAAATAACATCAAAAAAAAAGTGAGTGGGAGTACACAGTTCTGAGCACTCCGCCGACCCAAACTCCTTGGCATTATTTGCTTATTTGTTTGCACAGAGAATGTAGAATACAGAGAACGAGCTTAACTAGTCTGCGCGTCTATTTCGCTGTTGTTGTTGTAGCGGCAGCTCAGCCCTGCCTAGATCGGTTTGTCCATCAAACGATGTTGCCAGGCTCAGCTAACGGGAGACCCAGAAAGTGCGCAACTTCCACAGGATCTGTCCATAGGGACAAGGGCGTTAGCTGGGTGGGGTTTTGGAGCCATGTGAAGAGGTGCCGTGCGCCTTGGGGTGACTCTTCGTGTGTCAGGCGCTCTTTGGGCACATCCAGAGCGAAACTGGACTAGTGTGGTGCGAGTCTCCCGAGGCAGACAAAGCTCTATCCCGATCAAAACGGCATTCACAGATCGGTAGTCGATATAGGTTTAGATCTGCTCTCAGTGAATGCTGTTTATAGCCTGTCGGAGCCAGAGGTTGTTTCATGAACCTCTGATAGTCGTCCTTCAGTTCGTATAGATATCTCCTGATGTGCCTTGGCGAGGGCTCAGCTGCGAGCGGGTGTCTGTTAGGGTGCCCGGGTCTGTGGCACCCTACTATCAACTGCTTCCAGAGCATTGTGTTATGCTCCTTAATGGGGAGCATCTGGGCCTCGTCGTGTAAGTGGTGTTGTGACGACATCAGAAGGCATCCAGTTGCGGTTCGGAGTTCCGTAATTTTGTTCAGTTTTGTAATCGAAAATTTCCGGGATCGTCATTAAGTTTTTAGAATGAATTCTATTACTTAATCCGGATCAACTGTAGTTAATTGCCGAGATAATTCGGAATTAACGAGTTGATCCGGATCAACGCTGCCATCTGTCTATGCTTTTAAATGATTATAAATTGTACGCATTTTGTGAGCATTGGTACTCTTATGCAATTTTTTTTAAGGCTTCTTTCCAGCAAGACGACTAAACTGCTCCATACGAAGTTGTTATCGTACAATATTTAATGTCAATAAATAAATTTGAAATTTTTACGACAGACTCCCCAGAGCGCAGGAAATACGCATTAGATATTGCCAATTTATGGTCAACATTAAATCAGCACAAAATTTGATTGCGGTTGCAGGTGTTAAAAGCAATAGTATCTGCCTTAGTGTATGCGAGTGTGAAGACGAAATAGTGAGCTGGCTATAATTTTATACACATCTACATGTGTATGAAAAAAGTTTCATGCGCCTATTATTAAGATCATAAATCGGTTTATTGAAATTTATTGGCCGTTATGAGGTGTGCCACTTCTCCTTTTCTGTTTTCCCCTGCCAAAAAATGAATATCTTTCACAAGACGGAATAGCGCTCTTAGGTGCCAGCGAAGCCCATAAAACTCTTTACACTCGGGAGCCTTTTAATTACGCATATTCATTTTTATATTGCTCATAATTTCCAAACACGCACTCACCTTGATCAAGACGACGCTCCATACGCCGCCATTGCCGCATGTGATGCACTAAAATGCCGGCTGCTATAATGAAAAAGAGCAAGCAGGCTAACACGGCCAAGAAGAGCGCCGTTGTCTGCCAACCCATCGGCAGTGTTCCATCTTGCAGTTGCTGTAACTCATCTTGTGTCAATTGTTCCTCAAAGTCCATGTCGCCGTCGTCCTTTCGGCGCTGCGGGAATAGAATAAGATAAGAAATTGTAAAGTAATGTAAAGACTTTACGGGGATAAAGGGTAAAGGAAATAAAATAATATTACTACCAGAAAATAGTTCTAACGTAAGTTGCTCCATACATTTTATAATTTTTGACTGACATTTTTTCTTGGACTTTTCTCCTATTTGGAATTCACCTAGGTAATATATAATTAAATATCAGCCACTTTGCCCAAAATATAAGAACTTGCAGTTTTAGGTCGACTTTTAGATAAACGCTCTTTGATGTTGATTGGGCTTAGAAACACCCATCACTTTGGCAACAGGAATAAATTGCACCCTAGTTGTTTGGTTAAACTGTCAAACTGATCGTCTAAATTACCGAAAACGAGTGGGAATAAACCTGCATTTGCGGCAAGGTCATGGGGAGGCCAACTATGGCACAAGTCTCCGGAGTTGAGGTGAGGGAGATCCTTGAAGAGAAGGGAGTGGTTGTTCCTCCAAGTGTCCCATAGTTTTGACTTAATTTTCTCTGAAATGAAGAGAAAGGAGGCGAAAAGCAGGCGGCAAAAATCCTCCAATGTAATTGAGGGCAGTAGTCCAACTGCTACAGCTGCGAAGCGATCATGGTTTACGAAATCTACATCCCCCAGAAACCAGTGGCCCATTGTGGGATTTAAGAGCACCGAAATCTATGTAGGAGGTGCACAGGAAAACAGCTGGGTTCGCAACAATATGGTCTTGTCAATTCTGTCTCCTTCTTCCATGACTAAAGTGGTGGGTCAAGGTATGGTCAGTTCTGCTATGTTTTTAGTGATCTATTTATTTTATATGTAGACGGAGGACCATTCTGCCCGAGAATCCCCACATAACAGCCATTGCATGAAGTCGCCTTTCTAAGACGAGGTTGACGAGTGCTAATCTTAGAATGTCCTCTCACTTTATAATGATCAAACCTGTGCAATTCTCCTGTTAGGTTGCTACTAGGCTGAGCTGCAGGAGCAAGAATAAGCGGAAGCTGTTATAGCCATAAAAGGCAGGGTGCTTATGGCCAAAATAAAATCCGGGGCAGCAGCTTTTCGAGTATATTTTTACTTTGATTTCTGATCCCCCGGGCTCGGACTTTTTAAAGGGCCTGAAATATCGGAGCTATAACTTGTTATTAGCAAGAAAACATTTGTTGTTAGAAAGAAAACATTGCGCATGCTTTCAATAACCATGTTTTTCATTATACATAGAAACAATAATTTTTCCATATTTCTGCGAGAAACTGCTTCTTCGTTGTAGGCTTTTATCATAAATAAATATATTCCTTTTCGTGTTAATTTTTTGTGACTCTATACATTAAAAAATCCGTAAAAGGAAATTCTCAATCGATTACATGCTTTTAAATTATTACAAATTGTGTATAGGGGCCCGTGATTTTTCAGTCCGGGGCCCGAGTTTTCTCTCGACGGCCCTAGTGCCGTGGATAGGGCTTGGCCAGCTCGTGCTGAGTCACATTCCTGCAGACTATTGGTTGAAGAGCAATTCGAGGAAACCATCAAAAAGGGCCGTCAAAATAAGTGCTTAGATGGACTCGGAGCGCTACCGCCTATCATGACACGGAGATTTAAATATCGTCACCTAAGGGTGAACAGGTGCCAAGTCCATTTTTTTGAAATTGTTCAGGAAACACAAAAAATCGATGTAGTTTCATATTACCTGCCATTCTGCATCAAAAACTAATTTAAAAAAAAAAATGTACTTGGGCCCCTTTTCACCTTAAGGTCAAACATTTATTTTATGTATTCTGATCTTTTCCGGATATTATGTACCCACATATTGCACAGGCATTCGATTTGTTCTGCCTGTGAGATGAGACTATCTGGAATGTATAAAGAAATGCAGGCATAGTGTGTCTCCGTGAAGTCGCAAACTTCTATAGGAGAAAATATTTATCTAAGTTTTAGCAGTAGGCTAAATATTCCGACTCTACTTAATCTGAAGCATAGCTTAGATCTTAGATAAGTGGACTAACTGTAGCGTGTTATGACACATCTATTGTTAAAGGCCCAACTTTTCTATTCAAATTTTTGTCACCGAATATCCAATGAAAATCCGACTTTAGATGAAAACGATATTAAAAAATAAAACGTATTTTGCCAGAAAAAAATAGTTTATTCCAAGAGTCAGTGAATTATTGAACTACGGGGGTAATTTTTGTTTAGGGGGCGTT